TGTGAAGTAGCCATGCCCTGACTTAGATCAGCTCAGGGGTTGTTTCAGGGTTTGATCTGTGAAGTAGCCATGCCCTGACTTAGATCAGCTCAGGGCTTGTTTCGCAGTTCAATAAAAATGTCATTTGACATTCAATGTTATGAATATTTTCTGGAGCCACAAAAGATATCCTCGATCCTCAATGGGGAGGTATGGATATTTGATACTTACTAGAACCACACTTTATAATCTCTTTCTTAAATACCCCCTCCCCTCCCCCCAAACTATGACAAACCCATCCTAAACTCCAGCACAAAACTGAAGTCCAAAGGCTACCTTTTCATTTAAATTATTCAAAGTCTTCCACACACAATAAAGACCAATACAGTCAGATTTATGGCGAATTAAAACTCCACTTACCAGAGAAAGCCAGACGAAGCAGCCTTTGCATTTCTTCACACACGGTAATAATCCCTCCTGTCTGACACTCAACGGAGCCTTTCAAACGACATATCGACACAGCAGAAGCTAGAAGCTTCTCTGAATGCCGAAACAAGTCTTGGATACCATTCTCGTTGGTTCTAACTGGAGTAGAAAGAGGAGTTCGCCACAAAGAAGCGCGCTCTTCGTTTGCCGCCATTTTTCGTAATACAATACACTACCCAGAAACCTCTGGGCTGGAAGAGCTCACAGTAAATACTCCGCTCTCCCCTCCCTAGTGACAAAACTGAGACAAAGAGAGAGGGGTACTAGGAAGTCGTTCGTTTGTTTGTTCGTAAAAGAAATGCGTAAAAGAAATTTTTAAAAGGTTCAGGACCTCATAATATAAAATAAGTTGGTTTTCTCTCGGTTTTTGGATACAAATCAAATGCCTAATACACTAGCTGTTTAGTCTATTTTTAAAGAATCATTTGGTCTATTACCCTCCCCTCCCCTCAATGTCAATTTAAATTTTGGTGCCGTAGTTTAATCCCTCTTAATCTTTAAGGAGCGACTGTCTGTAAAAATCAAACATACGGCGGAAAGGCTCAAATTTTCGAATTCGCTCTACTTTTGGATTTTAGTAGTGTATGATGAAGGAAGAAACACCGTGTGGTTAGTTTTGAAAAATACTTTTTTGTTTTCGAGAAATAGGGAAAAATCGGTTTGAGCTCCAGGGACGAATTTCGCTGCCAAAAGATGGCTGAAAATTGCTTACTTTCGCTTGGTCCGTGTATCAAAACTATTAATCCAAATAGCCTTTGAATACTTTCTGCCAAAAGTACAACTCTTATTTGCTCAATTAAGAGTAGTTTCATAAAAATCGAACGACTCAGAATTATTTTACACAATAAAAAGCAA